ATTTAAACGGGAAGCATGGCGGAAAATAGCATGCCTCATCTCTAAAGAGGGAAGTGTTATCCAGAAAAATCTCAGGTAAAAATATAAAACAATAGTTGCTAAATTTGTGTATTTGTACATTTGTATTGTACATGTACAATACATGTGTAAATGTACAAATGTATTGTACATTTTTAAGATAAAACGTGCATTTTTACGTACATGCGTCATGATTACTAATATCATATATTACTAATGGGCATACTTCCTATTGTAATAAGAAATATTCAGAATACAATTTCGGAATATAGTAATTGTCTTTTATTTACAGTATTCAGTATTAAGAAACACTTTATAACACAACTAGTACAATAAAAAGTGGAGTAAAAAGTAAAGTAAAGTAAAGTGAAATAAAGTAAAATAAAATGGAGTAAAGAAAGGAGCAAATAGTTGAGTAAAGTACAGAAAATTGGAGTAACAAAAAATTACCATTTTTTTTAGAACACCATGTATCAGAGATACTACATGGCAGTCACCAAAACCTGATGAAAAAGATCTTCATTAATTACACATATGTAATTGATCCAGGTGAATACAGATGGAAGATAGAATCCAATGAAAATTTTGCACAAGTGAGTATCATTAATTTTAATGAAAATAAATTACCAATTCAATAATTTTAAACAAAAAGGAATATAGCAAATATATAACATTTTGTCTTTCAATTACGAAGGACATATTTTATATGAATCTGCTGTGAATAAATTTATTTTTAGACACATGACAAATAAATATATTTTTCTATATACGAAAATACCTAGAAGTATTATATGTAGAAATATAAAGAATATACAAATTATATAACATTTCTATATATTTAGAATTATCATATATAAAATAGAATATATAAGTTATGTATAGAATTATATAAACTATATTGTATACATTATATATAGAACAATTTTCCAACTCTCCATTCTCTGTCATTTAATTGCGTAGAACAGTTGAATTTATACGATAATAGTATTTCAATTTTGCGCGCGTTTTGTATACAAATATATCGTACCGTTTCAACCAATCAGAAAATAGCATCATTTCAGCCAATCATGAAACAGCAACGACATACTTTACCGCGGAATGTCATTCTCCTGTTACGAAGCATAACATCAACTTCTCAGCTGATTTCAGATACATAATTTTAATTCTATAGTACTTCTACTGCTATTTTATTATCATTTATTGTATATTATTATTATTTATTGCATATAAGCCTTATTTAGTCAATACATATTTATTTAATAAATTATTAGACAGAGAAATTGAATAACTTTTCGAAATGTACTTTCTATGTAATTTTCTACGCATTTGTTGATTATTTATCTTCATGTGCTACGTAATTCTTAACAATTCCAATACTAAATTCCAATACTAAATTATTTACTACATAATATAATAAAATTTCTCATGTCTCAGTTTGAAGTATTGACAATTTTTTTTATCAAATGTATGAATATTTTCATTTTTTTTTAACAATTTCTCATGAATTTTGTGTATTTGATTTAGAGTGGTTTATTTTTTATTCTCAGTTAATATGCGAAACGCGCGATTACAGCGCTCCAACGGTGAAAAACGCAATATACCTCC